ATGTGCGGCTGCTACTCTGATGGCAAATACTATGAGGTACGCCGCTCGTGTCCGTCTCTCGGGGCTTCTCTGATATTTCTGGGCAGAGTCACGTGTTCTGAGCGGGGACGGCGGTCAAGCCGGGCCGGAACCTGGTATCGCGCTGGGTCCGTTTGCCAGGGTCGTAGCCTCAGCCAGAGCGAACGCTCCTCAGGGCCTGGAGGGACAGGTCGTTCACAGGCATCGGGTGTTTCTGCCGGTGCACGGCCACGCCGTCTCTCGGGGCTTCTCTGATATTTCTGGGCAGAGTCACGTGTTCTGAGCGGGGACGGCGGTCAAGCCGGGCCGGAACCTGGTATCGCGCTGGGTCCGTTTGCCAGGGTCGTAGCCTCAGCCAGAGCGAACGCTCCTCAGGGCCTGGAGGGACAGGTCGTTCACAGGCATCGGGTGTTTCTGCCGGTGCACGGCCACGCTTGGAGATGGCTGTGAAGGCTGGTGGTTTTGCAACAAGCGAGAGCGGTCGGGGAACAAGGGCCGGAGCGGGCAGGCGTGCATTGACCGGAGGCACAGAGAGGCGAAGCGGGCTCTGCAGCGAAGCCCCGGCATTTGCCGGGGCCAAGCTGACCTGCGGTGTCCCGCATTGTCCCGAGGCCTCCTCTGAGCTGCGGAGCGTATTATCGTCGCTCCCGCTGGAGGACTCCCCGTGTCAGGGCTGGGGTTCAGCTCTGATCTGAGTACCAGCACGCACTTGGGTCAGGTTGCTTAATATATCAGGCGCGCCTCTCCCACGCCAGCCTTGTTTCCAGCCTGAGAGTCTTGCACGGCCGCTTTTTTGGAGCTCTGGCGTGAGGAAGGCTGGCATAGAGCAAGGAAGCCTTGATCTGAGGGCCTATAGTCTTACCCGAGTCGGTAAGACTTGACAAGGCTAGAGCCTGGTACTAAGCTGCTGACAGAAACGGTGCGTTTCGGTGAGGGTAGGCGTGACACAGCGGCAGCGCGGGACTTTCGTGGCTCTAGGGGGCATCCGGGGTAGAGAGGAGAGGGACGTCCTGCTACGGTGCGCTGCATAGGGAATCTTTCTGTCTATCAAGGATGTCAAGCGGTGTTGGGTGTGGGTGACTCGGGTGTTAGGCAGAGATGGGAAGGAAGTGGCAGAGCGGGGAAAGAAAGGGTCAGGACTGGGAAGACTGGCTTTGATGGGTGCCGAAGTCCAGGACTGTGTGCCAACGTTGTTCTAGGTATTCCATATGAGACTGTTTGACTGTTTTATGTGAAATTTACGGTTTGGTAGCTGTTGGATGTTACTTGTGAGTTAGAACCAGGAGGGTGTTGGGCTGACGGCATCGGTTGTGTTATCGCGGGTTGGACGCCGTGTCAGTGAAACTGTTGTGCGTGCGGTGTCTTTACCGAGCCCTGCGCCCATAAGGAGCCGGTATTTGGGTACCGTCCTATGAGAGGCCTAGGCCAGATGGGTCGAGGGCCAGCAAGGCATAAGAAAGGGGTCAAAGAGGTATTCGGCGTGCTGTGGTTTTTGTTTGTGTACGAGAAGCGAGGAAGGCTGAGGCGGCGGCGGAAACGTGCAGTCGCCTCGCGCCTGTGGGTAGCAGAGATGTCCTTGCAATGTAGGTGCAAGCTACCGACGCGTTCTTTGCGCCTTTTCCTCTGTCCTCGTTGCATCCAGCCTTTCTCGCTCTGTGGCAGACAGATGTAAACCTAGGCCCGAGTGTCGGCAGAGGGCAGGGCGGGGCTCCCTGGCCCTGCTGGCCGGTGACGGTTCCCCCTTTCAGCCCAAGCAGCTCTTCTGGACCGGGGACTGCACCCGGCGGTGCCGCTGTTTCCGGCGCAACCTCATCCAGTGCGACCCGCGGCACTGCAAGTCGGACGAGGAGTGCGCCCTGCGCAACGGCGTCCGCGGCTGCTTCAGCACCAGGAGCTCCTTCTGCCTGGCGGCGGGCGGTGGCGTCTTCCGTACCTTTGACGGGGCCTTCCTCCGCTTCCCCGCCAACTGCGCCTTCGTCCTCTCCACCATCTGCCAGAAGCTGCCCGATTTCTCCTTCCAGCTCATCATCAACTTTGACAAGTGGTCCTTGCCCAACCTCACCGTCATCTCCCCTGTGTACTTCTACATCAATGAGGAGCAGATCCTCATCAGCGACAGGAATACCGTCAAGGTAAGGTGTGGTCAGGAGCGCGTGCCCGCTCCGCAGCGGGGCCACAGGCCACGCCACCGGCTCCCGAGCGGAGGGGGATGGCGCGCGAGGCCGCAC